ACAAGCTTGCATCAGTTATCAATTATAAAAAGCCCATCGAGTGTCGCACTGAATTCAGTGTCCACTTATTTGCCCATCTACGTTGTCGATTACTGTGCGAAATGATGATACTCGTTAATCTTGTATTGATTGTTACGGCAGTAATACTTTTCTTTATATATGCCAGGTTAGCAAAGTAGAGAAATAATATTCAATAATAATTAAAGTTATTTATATATAATATAACATATAAAATATAATTTATGATATTACAATAAGTTATAGAAGTCTGCTAGATTCAAATTGTAACAGAACAAGGAAAAGTAGTCGTAATGCAACTAAACACACCTATGTTCAGTGTTTCAAATATACGCTTCACTTTATACTCATGCAGAGGCAAGCTCAATTACTGGAAGAAACGCGGCGTCGAGTCCCTCGAGGGCGATCTGATCTTCGGCAACTTCAAGGACGCCATACTCTTCCGCTCTGCGCCGGGATGGCATATCGGTCAGTTGTACAAAGCCGCTTGGGCGGACGCGGCTTACGTCGGCTTTTACATCTTCCACAAGCCGTGTCTGCTGTTGCGCGACCCGGACGTCATCAGGCAGTTCATGATTCACGACTTCAAGAACTTCTCCGATCGCCACTTCGCTAGCTCCAATCAGAAGGACAGCATCGGTATGAGAAATCTGTTCGGCGTGAAGAACCCGGTATGGAAGTACCTGCGCCCTCGGCACGAAAATGGACACCTTTCACCATCCGAACACGGAGTTCTTGTCCGGAGGTATTAGTTTTAAACGACTAAATGCGCGACAGAACAATCGATAGAGACGGCTGTCGTGTTATTAACTGCGACGCAACTTTTAACGCTACATGCGCAATAATTTTGCAGTTTACAAATTCTTTCACTCGTTCAAGAGGATGGTCGCTCTGGTGACGGTGTTCTTCATGCCCGAGCTGGTGGAGCTGATCGGGGCGAAGATACTGTTCGACTCCTCCTTCGTGCGTAAGGTTTTCTGGAGCGCGATGGAGAATCGCGAGAAAACCGGCGAGAAACGAGGCGATTTCATCGACTCGTTGCTCCAACTCAAGTACGGCGAACAGAATCCTGTTTACAGTGAGTAAATTTGTGTCTTTAAATTTTTTATTATTCATTCTTTGTAACTTGGCAATAGTTAGCGGAATATTATTATTATACGTTTTTAGTACAATCTTTTACGTTTTCCGTTTTCTATTTTTGTA